CTATATCAAATTAAGTAGCTATATCAAATTAAGTAGCTATATCAAATTAAGTAGTTATATCAGATTAAGTAAGCTTTTGGTATTTTTTCAACGTTTTTCTTTATTACTGTATCTTTTATAATCACTTAGCCAACATACGAAGCAAGTCTGTGTACTTACATTTAACGGTAAGTTTTATTGTAGCCACCATTGGTTGTTTTATTGCAGGATTCTCAGACCTACACGAACAAGTTTTCCCATCATGTTTTCTACTTGCTTTGAATGTCCACTTGAGGGCAGCGTTAGCTCTCTTGTTGTCACCCAAAAGTTGGGTCGTGAATTCTATACCCTGAGTGACCACGACACCGTCTCCATCTAACCAGGCCAGCTGTACCAACATCATTTAAACTGGATTTAACTGGTTGTCATCGTTACACAAACTAATGATTGTTCTTTCTAGGTCAACAGTACTGAACTCTTTGTATTAATAAATTCCACTATTTCAAGTATTGTCACTTCTACATGTGTCATGATTTATCAAAATAAGTGACACACGCGCTTGGAATTTATAACACAAACTCTATAAATCACAATCAAAATCAACGGGAAACCATTGACAGGAAATGGTAAGTAAAAATAAAAGAGGACAAAAGGTTTGGTTATTTGGTTCATTCAAGGTATTTCCACATCTGCTTCTATTGTATAATCTCTATATAATAGTACAAACTGTAATATTTTAACCGCTAGCATTAATATATCTATAAAACGATTCAAACTGTAGTGCTTTACCATTAGCATTAGCATAATATAAATATATAATAATTCAAACTATAATATGAGTCCATAACACTAGCATAATATCTATAGAATGATTCAAATTGTAATACTTTAACTAATAGCATTAGTACAATATCTATATAATGATTTAAACTGAAATAGCACTTATCTAATCTTTATAAATTGATTAAAACTGTAATAATTCAATCACATTCTAGTACAATCTGTATAGAACAATTCAAACTTTTATACTTTAATCAAAGATATGTGAAGTATTTTCTTATTGCTTAGAAAAATAGTTTTTAACAATTAACATTTTACATTAAAATTGGAAATATGATACTGGTATAAACGAAGATTCTTAATGCGACACTTTATAGTACATAGCATAAGGTTACCACACTGAAGTTAGGTACTTATTTCCTATTCGTAGCTTACATTTAAATGGTTAAATCACATAAACAACCTAGATGAGATACTTCAAATTTTAACGCTTAAACATTCCTCTTGAAAGTAAATTAGGTTACACAGCGACATAAGTATGCATGCGCTTTTAAGATGTATGCCTTGAAAATCATTTAATTTCCTTTTCATCAGACAGGCAGTTTGCTTACGTGTTACATAACATTTAAACGGTTAAATCACGCGGATAAACTTGTTATGTCATCTCAATTAGGACATCATTTTAAAACATAAGTACTGTTCTTTAGAGTAAAGTAGATTGCAGAATGGCACAAGCGTATTGACGAACCAAAATCGTCTGAGTAGTTATCTGGAAACCTAACCAAAGCACAGGATCTTCATATGTGCTAGACGTTGTCATCAGAAACTAACTTGAAAGGTTAGCATTCATCTAATTATTTTACAAATATGATTTTAACAAAGCAAGTCATGGATGCAAAGCAACCACCACAGCATGTTGCACCATACAAACAGGACAACATGCACACTTCTTTCACTGTCCAGTTTAACCTGCTACAGGACTTGCGCTCCTGTGGGTTTGGCGTTATGTATTTAGGTTCTACAGGTTCATTCATAAAGAAGCCATTAACTTCGTCTTTTATTCGTACTTTTACGGACCTCACTTATAGTTTCAGACATAGGAGTAAAGAAATAAAATGAACCACAGGAGAAAACGCCCCGCAAGGATAGCAATTTGGTTATTTCAAACTGGTTTAAGATGTTTAAAAGGGACATGTTTAATTTGGTTATATAAAACTGGTTTAAGGTGTTTAAAAGGAACATGTTCAATTTGGTTATAGTTTGTTTGTTTGTACTTAAGCACAAAGCTACACAAAGGGCTATCTGTGCTCTGCCCACCACGGGTATCGAAACTCGGTTTCTAGCTATGTAAGTCCGTAGATATACCGCTGTGCTACTGGGGAGGGGGGGGGCTAATTTGGTTATATAAAACTGGTTTAAGATGTTTAAAAGGGACATGTTTAATGCAAAGGTATGCATAAAGTCAACTAGATTTTTCAGGAATTTACGCAAAGAAATGCAGACGAGACAGAAATATTTTATTATTTAAGTGTTGAAACCCAGAAAACACGACATCGGTAGTTTTAGCATGGCTGAAGGAAAATTAGATATGTTGATGAGAGTTGCAGAGAAAACCCACAAAGGAAAGAGGGGCGGGTGCAAAACCCTGTTGATGACTGCCATCCCAAATTTGAAGATCAGTTGGTTTCAAAATTACATAAGCTTAACATTGGAACAGAACGTGATCTATTTTTTCGACCTTCGTCTATCGTGCACAATACTAAGCATAGTACGTGCAACCCAAACACACATCCAATGCTACAATATTCCCATGAGGGAAACAAGTATTATTGTTACTTTTTGAAATTAGAGCCACCTTACATAATCCCATTATTTGTAAATATTTTCAGTGAAGTTCCCACCTGTAACCATCGTAACTGCCTACAGTCTGCAGTTGATGCTTTGTTTATCCAGTGTTTCAGGATATGTCTATTGAAACTAACAAATTGGAGGTAAGTATTAATTAGTAACTATTTAGCATAAATTATAATATCTAATAACCTTTTCACACTATATAATATGCAAATTTATAAGGAAAACACATTTATACAACGTGGCAATTTTTCAAAACCTTTTCTCCAGTCTGTCAGTTATTTATGTCATTCTATATCAAATCAATGTAGTCATTAATTAGATATCACTGAAAACTTACATGCAACTCCATCTATGTCATCCTTTTGATTAACACTTCACTATGACTCACATACATACCTAGTTTAATACTGATATTAATGAAAGTTATTAGAATCTACTTATTGAAAAATTTCCATGGATCAACATTATTGAAGAATAAGAAAAAAATTAATGTAATTTATTTTAATTAAACTCAAGTTTAAAATTATGTCTCGAAGCAGATTTAAATTGTTATAACCAAAAGTATTTAATATTCTAAATAAATAATGAAGTAATGACGAATAGTTACTCAGATAATAGAAAGCGTTTTTCAAATATATCATAAGTTATCATCAAAGAGAAAATAAATTCAAATATAAATATTTAATAAAAATAGTTGTTTTCTTTTTTTGGTTCTCTTCTCACTAAACATTTATTGGTCTCTCACCACAGAAGTCTTCTGACTAAACATTTATTGGTCTTTCACCACAGAAGTCTTCTCACTAAACATTTATTGGCCTTTCACCACAGAAGTCTTCTCACTAAACATTTATTGGTCTTTCACCACAGAAGTCTTCTCACTAAACTTTTATTGGTCTTTAACGAAAGAAGTCTTCTCACTAACCATTTATTGGCCTTTCACCACAGAAGTCTTCTCACTAAACATTTATTGGTCTTTTGCCACAGAAATCTTCTGACTAAACATTTATTGGCCTTTCACCACAGAAATCTTCTGACTAAACATTTATTGGTCTTTTGCCACAGAAATCTTCTGACTAAACATTTATTGGTCTTTAACCACGGAAGTCTTCTCACTAAACATTTATTGGTCTTTCACCACAGAAGTCTTCTGACTAAACATTTATTGGGCTTTCACCACAGATTTTTTCTTGTGTTTTGTTGTGCACAGTTGTTATGGTTTTATAATTAAACTGATTTACACTTGTTTAATATATATTGTCTCATGTTTTCATATATTTCAACTTACGTTTCCATGAGAAGTTCATGATCAGTTTGGTAGTTTTCGCACTATATTATTTTTGGATCTTGTTATTTTGTGTTTCAGTATTCATGACTTGCTATACATTCAATAATTTAATTTTGTCCAGTCTGTGTTTTCTAATAACTAACATATTTTGTAATCACTTTAAACTGTTTTATTCTGTTTTATTATTCATACACTGTACTATTGAATTTTACTTAGTATACTTAACCATGATATGGTGTAAAGAGATTTACGTATTGGTAATTTCCAGGATGTTTGTGTTATTATCTGACTGTTTCTATATTTAACATGTCGTGATTTATTTGGTTGATATAAAAGAATGTTAAAGATCAATTATATCGTTAATTTTAACTTTGAAACTGCCCGGAACAAGCTGAAGATAACAAGGGAACATCATAACTGATAGACTTTCAAAAACTTTACAACTATAATATCCAAAATGTATGTAACATTTCGAGATTTCGCTTGTCTGTAACATTTCAGTATTGACCACCGTAATTCTGTACCTTCAGACTGTAACATGTGTCAGTAGGACACCAGCCTTGCATTATATCCATGTTCTTATGGCATTGTTAGACCGGAAATGGCCTTCTAATGTTGCTAGCCCAATTTTCCCATGAGAAAAAAGTGGTCATTTTGTAATATTGTGCATCAACTGCCTAAGGTTAATGAAGCTTAATTTCTTTGTTCTCTGACTAAATATGTGTGTGTTTGAATCTTAGTAGTTGAAATAGTTCTTTCCTAGTTTTCAGACTATTCGTAGTCAGTCAAATAACCAATATTATTTTAGGTTAAACTGTCTTGGTGGGTACAAAGTTTTCGTTTTCTTCCTCTTTTGGCGTCATTTAACCTTTTTATGGTTTTGTTTCATCTTAAAATTTATCACCAACATTCGGAAATTCCGCAACTGAAATGAATCGGTCTTCATTCTTCAAAGATCAGTGACTTACGGCTAGCTAGTTCTTAGCGTACCTCTCTCTGGTGATTGCGGTTATGACATATCTGTATGTAACTCGTTACTTAAGAATACTGAAGAGTAAAGTTTTAAAAGCATGCCCTAATTTAGGTGGAGTAACCAGGCTTTTTATGTGATTTAATCGTTTAAAAGTTATATAACAAGTAAATAACTTGTCTGTATGAAGGAAGGACGAAGGTTTGGTTTTCAGTGGCGACTTGTGTCGCTCTGTAACCTACTTTATTTCAAGTAAATAACTTGTCTGTATGAAGGAAGGACGAAGGTTTGGTTTTCAGTGGCGACTTGTGTCACTCTGTAACCTACTTTATTTCAAGTAAATAACTTGTCTGTATGAAGGAAGGACGAAGGTTTGGTTTTCAGTGGCGACTTGTGTCGCTCTGTAACCTACTTTATTTCAAAGGAAAATGTGTAATATTTAAAATGATGCCCTATTTCATGAAGCACAGCCAGGATCTTTATGTGATTTAACCGTTTCAATGTGAGGTAACATATAAGAAACTTGACTGTAACAATAAATGGGATGTGATTCCTTTTCATGGTATCGCTCTTAAACACCCAACTGTTCCATTCTGTAATGTAATATGTTTTGAAGAGGAATGCTTAAGCTTTAAAATAATGTCTTATTTGAGGAGCCACAAATATGGCTATCCGTGTGATTTGACCATTTAAATGTAAACTATGAATAGGGAATAAGTAACTGATTTTAGATTTGAATAATGAATAAACAACAGCTTTGAATAAGGAATAAGAAATAAATTTCAGCCTGGTATAAGATTAACGTAGATAACAGAGTTCTAATTACAAGTACAACTTTGTGATAAAAATCAAAAGTAAGGTAAGTTGGTCCCACGATTTGCTATGATACATTCAAAAGTCATATCTCTAACTTAGTTATCCTTCAATTAAGGTGCTTAAATTTATGAGAACGGTAATATGATACTTAATCCTAGCAATAATTTTAGCTTGTAAGACAGTGTAATAGCTCAGATGATAAACATTTATCATCAGTTATCTTCCTCGGCATATATATATATATATAGTGAAGAATATTAAAAGTAAAACTAATAAAAAGTTGAAACTAGCTATTCTACTCCGGGACTTAAAGAATATTTCAGAACAATAGTTACTTTTATTCTACAGTATCAATATGCTTTATGACAATATTATTTTCTGTTTTATTATTCTTTCTTTAATCGCCATTGAAGTTCAAAAACAGAAAGGTTTTGCACTCGTTTTCTTGAATTGTAAAATTCTACTAAATTATGTATAATTGATCTGTTTCCGGAAAACACCATACGCCAGTCTCTTTATTGGGCGTTTTTATGTACTCTGTTCAATTAGCCATGTGATGGGGTTCAAAAGTTTGTTGTTTCAGATCTGCCAATAGAAAAGAATTCTCTATTTTCCCACTTATTTTTTTTATTGTTCTGTTCTGCCGACCAAAGTCCTAAACATGCAGGTAATTTCAGATCAATACAAAGCTTTACTTCGGAGAGCTACTAGAATGCCCTGGTGAGCTTTTGTAAGTATTATTTCTAGCTGGCTCTGACTAGAGAGTAAAGACTAAAGACATTTAATTTCATGCTGGGAACAAGCCTTCTATAAGAAGATTTCTCCGTTTTATTAACCCAATCGCACCGTTTCTTATATTATAATGGCCTCAGTCTCACTGGCATCCAATAGTAGAATAACTTGTCAATAACCAATAATCGCTAACTAAGGATCTAACATCTTACACGTACTAAATAGATGATATTTTATATATATCCGAGAAAACATACACTGCCTAATGGACAAAGAAGAAACAAGAAATTCTACGTATACACTAAGACATATATAGATATATATGAGCATATCCCGTTTCATATATACTGGAAGAACATACGATGTTTCATACACGTAGTAAATCACTGTTTTTCTTTTTCCTGTTAGATGTATTAAAAAGATAATGAATGTTTATACATCAAATGAACTTGCGATTTTTTTCCCAAACATGCAGTGACACCCAATGTTTCCTAAATAATACAGAGTAAAAATATAGGTATAAAATATCATATCTTACACGTTCAAAGAGCCATGGTAGAAAAGCAGTGAATCAGATCGTCCAGATTACTTCTCGAGTGGTAAAACAAAATTTTTTCATTTAGTTTGAAGATATAACTAATTTCTTTCTACATCGTTCACAAGTTAATAAATTAAAACCGTACCTCTGCTGGCGGCTTTCCACCATTGGACTCGCACGTTAGTTGTACTGTCATACCAGCAGTAGTCTCTAGAAAGTCGTTCGGAACAATTCGAGGTGGTTCTGGAGGTACTAAAACAAAACGGGTTGTAACTGAAATAATTGATTTTAAAGCTATTAATCTAGTAGAATCACTAAATGTTTTTAATTTTATCAATTGAAGCAACTATCTCACTCCTTTGAGAATACGTTATATAGAAGA